CTCTCCCGAGGCTGTCACTCACTGGAGATGCCAGCACGAGCCACCCCCTGCCCTTGTCCACCCCGGGCCTCCAAGAGATGCCAGCACATCACCCACAGAACACCATCCTGCACCAGCAGCTCCATCCATGGGGGGAAGGCGGGGTGGTGCCCACAGCGTCCCGCTGGCAGCTGTCACACGTGGGGATGAGAGGGGACCGTCACATCTCACACCAGGAACTGAAGGTACTGCTGGCAGTAAAGCAAAAAAAAAAAACCGTTCTCTGAGCAATTGCTAGCAATTAATAGCCGTTCCCAGGAATGAAATGTTAATTAATTCATTCCCCGAGCCATGCATTTATTTAAGGTATTTGTGGGTGTTCTTGGTACTTTTATTAAGCAATTAAAATGCGTCCAAGAAAATATTTATCCATTTTAAGCAATTCTTAGTAAACACAATTTATATGGCAAGCGACCACTTTATTTTGAATTGTTAATTAAAAACGACGACACACTCCACTTCCCCGGGTTATAACGCCGCCAGAGCAGCCGCTCCGCCGGGAGTGCTGGCTCAAGGAGCACACCCCCCCTGCTGGCAGCTCCCAAAATCCTCCCTGGGAGTCTGGAGGATGGATTTGGGCAGAACCCAGAGGCCCCAGCAGCCCCGTGTCGCCCTCCAGTAGTTCCCGTGCTGCTTCTGGGAGGAGCCGTGGCCTGATGGTGACCTTTCCAAAGAAGACTTTGGACAGCACTCCAGCTTTCATGGGCTCTTCATGGGCTCCACCAGCCTGGAAGCCCAGCCAGAAACGGAGTTTGGGAAAAAAGGGATAGAGCTGCTGGGTAAAACCACTTGTGCAGAAGGAGACCTGGCAGACCATCCCACTGAGAGCCTGGGACGAAGCACGGGTGCATCATCCTGGGTTTTGGCAGGTTTCCTTTGGAAACTAGAGCAGAAGAGGAAAAAACACTGACAAATGAAAACCAAAACAAAACCACAGGCATTGCCTGGGAGCTGACAAATCCCAAACTGTCCGTCCTTATTTGCTTGCATGTACCCTTAGCTGGGAAGCGATCGATGGAGTCAGAAAAATGCTATTTCCCTGAAGAATGTCTCCTTAGAACTAAGTCCCTCCCTTCCTCTTCAGTGTAGGTATTCTATTTTTTGTTCAGTCTTTAATCACCAGCTTTTCAGTGCTGTCTGTAATAACCCCTTTGAAACTTGGATCAAAATATCTCTTTCCCGGCTGAAATTTGTTTTCCTCCCTCACCTGAGCAGATTCAATTTGCAGAGGATACTGAACTGAGAGGCAGCAGGTACTCCCTCAGAGAGGCCAGAGGAAAACAAAGGCAGGTTAGAAATATGGGAAAGGAAATAACAAAATGAAACTCAGCCAAGAGGGGAAGAAATGCCCATCTGGGAAAACAGGCAGAGATGGTGCCTGGTGAAGAGAAAGGAAGAGAAAATGTGCACATCTCTGTTATGGGGACAGGTTGGGAGAGCTGGGGGGTTCACCTGGAGAAGAGAAGGCTCCAGGGAGACCTGAGAGCCCCTTCCAGGGCCTAAAGGGGCTCCAGGAGAGCTGGAGAGGGACTGGGGACAAGGGCCTAGAAGGACAGGAAAAGGGGTCGGCTTCCCACTGCCAGAGGGCAGGAATAGATGGGATATTGGGAAGGAATTCTTGGCTGTGAGGGTGGGGAGGCCCTGGCACAGGTTGCCCAGGGAGTCACAGGAACAGGTCCAGTGGGCAGGATCCCCAAGGACACACCTAGAATTGCCTCACCCCTCTCCTGGGGCAGGAGGAGCCCACCCTGCCCAGACCTGGCCCTGCAGGGGGGTCTGGCTGAGGAAGAAAACCAGTAGCAAACAGGGACAGGTCACTTTGTGGCCAAGTCATATGGGGAGAGAGTAAAGGAGGTAAATTTATATAGTCTGGAAAAGACCCTGGGAGGCATGTTTGCAATCTATAAATACCTTCAAGGGGACAATATAAATGAAAGGAGTCCCTGCTCTCCAGGGTGGACAAGGAGCACTGGCTGGGAGCCAGGCTTGGTGCTACACGGCCTGTGAGACACGGGGAAGAAATCATGAAGAGCCTGCAGGTGATGGATGGGGCTGCTGGAGCATCTTCTCTGCCCTGTTTTATTCAGATTCTGTTTATAAATAATTACTGAAGGGTTAATAGGTGAGTAAGACACGTTATGGGCTCGTTAAAACCCTGACTAAGTTGCCCTCTGGCTGTCCACGAGCCCATCACGGGAAGCTTTACAAGAGGGTTATCAGCTGCTGTGATTAAAAACCAATTTGACATTATAAAAGATCTATACTGCTCGTTCAGCCACATTGATTTAGCCGTGTTAAGCCTTGGAAAACGGGAACAAGGACCTTGATCTCTGCTGAAGCACGAAAAATTGCTGTTTGTGACACATCTCCGCGCTCGGGAAATCCAGTTTTGCGGAAGCGATGGGTTTTGAACAAGCCATAAAGCACCAGGCCACGGTTGTTGGGGGGGTGTTTTCCCACGCAGCTGCAATGTCAAATAGCTCTTGGAAACCTTGGCCTCAGTTTTGCAACATCCAGGAAGATGTCAGCTGAAGTCTGCCCAGCTCAAATCCACCTGCTCCATCTGGTTCCAGTTCCCAGTGCCCTCCGTGTCTCTGCTGGGAGGAGGAGCTGCAGGCAGGTGCAAGGACACGACCCAGAGAGCCCACAGGTCACTTTATCCTCACCCTGAAGCCTCCCCTTTGTCCTTTGCAGAGCAGGGAAGGTGGATTTGTGCAAATTACCAGGGGCCTGGTAATTTGTGGCCTGCACAAGTGAAGCTCTGGATTCTCCCAAAGGTTTGGTGCTGCAGCCCATCCCACTGAGCACTGCAAGGAAATGGCCTCGTGTGCCTGGTGTCTCCCTCGAGCACCTGAGGAGCAGAACAACACCCTTCAGAGGCTGGAAATTTGCTCATGGCTGGGAGCCTCTACGGGGACAAAGTTGTAAAAGGACGTAACGGAGCAGAAATGTTTCTGGCAGAGAGCACAGGGCATTTCGGTGTTCACTAGCTGGAATTTCCCTGTCCCTCTAGCATTCTACCTTCTTTCCTTCCTTGCTTTCATTCATCAAAAGTTCCTGAAATGTGGCTTCAGGCCTTTGTGACCAGCAAACCAAAGAGGAGACGATGAGAACGTGTGTCCTCTCCATCCCACGAGCTGCGCAAAGCTTCAGGGACGAGACCTCAGAGCTCTGCCAGATCCCTCCATCCCCCTCCTGCCCCATCCCCGAGGAACAAGCTGCTGGGGCAGCACTGGCAGATGCTCTCCACGATGGGCAGCAGCGCTCCTGCAGCAGGGGGGCAGCAGGGCAAGGCAGATGCCCTCGGGAGGCAGGGAAGCGGGACGCTGAGATCAGCCCTGCTGGCTGACCCCTCGCAAGCCGCTTGGCTTGGGTTGCAGTTCCCTCTGGAAGGAGAAAGGCGTCACCAAAGCATCACTGACCACGCAGACCTTTGGAGCAGCACCTGGAAGGCGTCGCTTGTGCTGTTTTTTTCTATAGGGAACCTCCCTCATTAACACACGAAGCGCAGCCCTGGAAATAAAACCGGCATCTCCTGATTAATTACTGAAGGGGGAGGCCGGGGAGGAGGAGGGGAGGGGAGGGAAGCTGAAGTGGCCAGTCAGCATCTGTTAGAGGTGCAAAGATAAATGGAATGTGAGGGCAGGTCAGTGTACACAAATCACTCCCATCTGCCCACGAACAGATCCCAGAACGCCCCGTGTCATCGGGGGGGTGAGGCTGTTGGGAGCTGGCAGGAGTCACCGAGGGGCACATTAACAGGTGCTTTAGGCTCTGGAAGCGCTCAGGGACTGCCACGGACCAGCATTTCATTCTCGCTCCAGCCCCACCGAGGCACTGCTGTGCCTGCAGAGCCTCGGCAGGAACTCCCTGCAGCTCCAGTTGTCCTTGGTGCCTTTGGGGCAGCCCTGAAGCAGTGGGGACCCACAGCAGAGCGATGGGAGTGAGCAGAGAGCAGCAGGAGACTCGCGGGAGGACCGAAAGCAGATGCCTTTCACCTTGAGGGAACAGCCTTCCCAAAACCACCCCACGGACCCCACGTGGGAAGCTGCCTCCGTGGCTCCTGCCTCTCTCCAGAGCCCATCTCCCGGTGCTGCATCTTTCCCGACCCACCCAGCACAACCAGAGGAGGGCAGCCCCGAGACAACAGGGCAGAGATTCCTCAGGGAAACCCTGTTTCCTCCAATTTACCCGTCACTTGTTTGGGGAGGGGGATTATTATATGTTTTTTCCCAGGCTTTCTTTCCCTCCCCGAAAGAGTGGCTGGATTTTCACACTGCCTGACAGCATCTCCTGCCTTTCGCACCCGTTCCCGAGTGGCAGGTTGCCAGATGGTGCCCCATTAGGTCACATTTGCTCATTGTTTGGCAAACAGCGGCTTAATTCAAGTGCTGAGTTGACAGCTTGTTCTCCAAGACAATTTGCAAGTCGCAGTGTTGCAAATGCCAGCTTGGCTTTTCGGGGGAATGTTATTTCAGCTGCCTTAAAGGGATAAAGTTCTCTTTGATTGGGGAAAAAAATAAAAGGAAAAAAAGGGTAAAAGTGGGGGGCAGTGAAAAGGTTTTTAGTGGTTTTGATGTGGAAGGATGTTGTTGGCAAGTGTTCAGGAACAGATTGTGGTTCCCCATCAGCAGAGACCCTCCATGTCCCATCCCTCCCATCACTGAGGTTTTCACAGTTCTAAGGAATGAGGTGCATTCCCAATGAAACAGGGAGACAGCAGCTTTGGAAAGGTCTGGGTGGGGATATAAATACCCATCGTTTGATGGCCTCTCTCCAAAACCTGCGCCTGTAATCCCCACATCCCTACATCCCCAGGGAAGGGCACGATGCTGAGGACACATCCATGTCCCTCCTAAAGTCAAGGGCCCCCTGTGCTGTGCTGCCCCCAGCCCTGTGCACACATGGAGATGACAAGAGACACGGAACAGCACCGTGAGGATGCTCTGTTTCCTCAACAGGTGGGCGAAAAAAGGCCAGGTTATAAAGGAAGCCTCTGGTGACTTCTATGAAACCATCGTGGACCACACCTTCTTCTTTGAGCCTGTCTCCTGCGAGGTCACCAATGCCCTGGGCAGCACAAACATCAGCAGGACAGTGGATGTCTACTGTAAGTACCCTGAGTCCAGACTCCCAGCGTGAGCAGAGCTGCTCAGTCAGTCGGAAGGGGACGTGGTCTGATGTGCCCAGGGTGACCAGGACTTGCTGGGCTCTCCTGCTGCTCAGACTTCGTAAATGCTGCAGTGGTGGGACCCCCAATTTCCTTATGAGCTCACAGGGTGGTCCCAGGGGAGCTGGTCCCTCTGAGGCTGCAGCAGCACCTGGCCCATAGGCCTGCCACAACCTCCCCCTGACCTGTCTGGTGTGAGGGTTTCTGGCTGGCACAGCCCAGCCCTGGCAGTGACCACGGTCTCCTCTGTGCAGTTGGGCCCAGGATGGCGACAGAACCGCAGTCCCTGCTGGTGGACCTGGGCTCGGATGCCGTCTTCAACTGCGCCTGGACCGGGAACCCCTCCCTCACCATCGTCTGGATGAAGCGAGGCTCGGGCGTGGTGAGAGCTGCTGCAGGGAGGGGGGCATGCTCAGGGCAGGGGGTGCTTCCCACGGAGCAGAACACGTGGGCTGGATGAGTGCTGGCTCCTCCTAATGCCAAGGAGTCCCAAGAGAGAACTGATTCCCATGATAAGGGGCTTAAGGGTTGAACCCTGACCAGAGCAGCGCTTAACATCTCGCTGATGGGTAGTGGTTCTGCAGTTCACCTGCAGGCAGCTCCTTCTGGGATGGACCTTCCTGGGATGGTCCATTCTGGGATAGTCCATTCTGGGATGGACCTTCCTGGGATGGTCCTTTCTGGAATGATCCACTCTGGGATGGTCCTTTCTGGGATGGACTTTCCTGCGACAGTCCTTTTTGGGATGGTCCTTTTCTTGCTACAGGGAGATCAAGATCCCTGTCCAACCACCACATCAGCACTAATTCCTGGAGGCATCAGCTGTGGGAGCAGCATCCAGCAGAGCCAGGGGCTCACCCAGCCAGTGGGCACTGGATGCAGGAGAGGTGATGGGCTGTGGCCTGCAGAGCCCTGGGGAGAGAGCCCAGGGCGACTGTAGGAGTTTTTTCCCAGGCATTCCACTCCTTGTTTTAGACCTCCCGTGGTTTTTTAAATACCAGCAGTGCCAGGATCCTGCTGAGCCCCTCAGCCAGGTCTGCTGCGATTTTCCAGGTTTAATAAAGCTGCTCATTGCACAGTGGGGGCAGGGGGGGAGCAGACACATTGCAGCCAGTCTATAGGGGGGCTTGCTGAAGCCAGCTGAGATTTCTGCCTCTCCAGACACAATTCCCAGGTGTCTGCCACCTCTCCCACCACTTCTGGGCTTGAAATCCCTGAGTCAATCCGGGCAGCCCCCCTTGCACCTGCAAATGTGGAGATGCAAGTGTGATTCTCTCCAAGGTTTTTCTGTCGCTGCAGCCACCAATATTTTTCTCTTGTAGTTTGAGAACTTCTTGCAAAACTGGAGTTTGTAAAAACTCAGATGAATAGGAATGGGATTTATAATTAAAAAAAAAACAAACAAAAAACAAAAACCAAACAAACGAAGAAAAAAAAGAAAAACTGTGATGCTTCTTCATTCCTTGGTCAGTGGCAGTCAGTGATATTTCCATGCCCTGTCTGTTCTGGGCTCTGGAGCTGGTAACACACATTTCTCGTAACTCGGGTCTCTCGTAACTTCTCATCAACCCCCCTCAGCAGCCCCCTCCTCTCTTGCAGGTCCTGAGCAATGAGAACAAGCTGACCCTGAAGTCTGTGCGCCAGGAAGACGCCGGGAAATACGTGTGCCGGGCCGTGGTGCCGCGGGTGGGCGCGAGCGAGCGGGAGGTGACGCTCACCGTCAACGGTACCTCCTGCTTCCCTATCGCCAGCCCCTCCTCATTTCCCCCTGCCGCCAAAATATCCCCTCAGGCATTTCCTCCCGGAGCAAATCCCACCCCCAGTCAGGCCAGGGAGGGAGGACAATCAGAGTAAAGTGGATTTTGTATTTATTCTCCTGGAGATTCACGAGTTAAAGCAAAAAAAAACCACCCCAGGTTAGGTCATCCCCACATGGATCCTTATTACCAACAGGGGTTTATTGAGTAGCTGGGAGCTGGCATCTTTAAATCTTTAATAGATTAATCTTGCAACACCCTCGCAAGGTCGGAGAGCGCTGTTGTCTCTGTTGTACAGCTGGAGAGCTGGGAATTGAGCCTGCAGCTGAGACCAGCAGCCTAATCACTCTCCAACCCACATGAGGATCCCTGGGAGGATCCCTGGGAAAATTCCTGGGAGGATATCTGGGAGGATTCCCAGGAGGATGCTTGTGAGGATACTTCCACGGCTGCTTCCACGGGACTCACCCACCACAGTGTCAGGCTGTGCCCCAGACTCACACCCAGAGCTCTGGAGTTTAATGATGCCCTGGCCAGGACCCTGCAGCTGCTGCTAACAAATTTCAGCCTAAATGTGGCAGGGAAAGACCCAGGTGGGCTGCAAATGGTGTAAACAGAGGCTGAATTTTGCTTTGTCTCTCACCTGCATGACAAACCAGCAGCTTTCAGTCCCCACTCACTGTCACAAGAGAAGGAAACAAGCAGGAGGCAGCCCAAGCAGCTACAAGCATTAATTTTAAACGCAGATAATGCAGATGGGTGGATGCCCCAACCTGGAAACCTTCAAGGATAGGCTGGACAGGGCTCTGAGCAACCTGATCTACTTGAAGATGTCCCTGCTCACAGCAGGGGGTTGGACTGGATGACTTTTAAAGATCACTTCCCACCCAAACCATTCCAGGATTCTGTAATCCTAGAAAGGGAAGCCAAGAGCAACACAGCAGGGGACTGAAAAGCAACCACTCCCTCGTCTCCGACTCAGCTCCTCGGCGCCTGAATCCTCCTTCCCCGGCGGCTGCTGGGCTTTAATTACAATTAAATGAGCTCATGGAAAACAAAGCAACAAATTAGCACAAAGAAAGAACCTGCTCCTTCCCTGACACCCACCAGGCACACCAGGATGCCTCGAACGCAGAGCGGAGGGTTCTGCAGGCTCCAGGAATTCGGAGCGTTCGGCACAGAAGAGCTGCTCTCCAGAGCTTTGCAGCTCACACCTGGCAGAGCTGAGGGGCAGCAAATGAAATCCGTGAGTGGGGTTCGCTGCTCAGCTCCCAAGAGCCGGCTGCCTGCAGCATCCCATCCCGTGGGATGTGCTGCGGGGCGCCTGGTGCACCCCAAAGGTGACAGTGTTGGGACATCCCATCACAGGCGTTGGACCGCGGCAGAAGCCCACACCTCCAGGTCAGGGTGGTGTCCTGGGCCCCTCGGTGAGGAGAATGAGGCCTCAGAGCAGCGTTTCCAAGTGTGACATCACCAAACACCGGGGCTTGGCAGCCTGTCCTGCCGCTGGAGCGGCGTTCCAGCTCCGGAGCACAGCACGCTGTGTCTAATCCAGCTAATGAATTCTGCTGGAAGCCTGTTCTGCTGTAATTCGAGAGGGAAGTTGAATGCCTCATATTTTGAAGTGCTTTTAAATCCAGAGGGTGATACAATTGTCTTGGTGCCTCTCTCCGTGGGCTGGGATTCGTCACAGGAAAATTAGGCATTTAGAAGTGTCTGTTCTGGGCTGGCTGCACAGACCCTGATCGGGGCACACCGGCTTGGGAGAGGCTGATCCTTCCCCCAGAGCACAGAGACCCCGACTGAGGGATCATCCGACCCAGTCTGAGCCTGCAGTCCCACCTGCACCAGCCCATCCACTCCCAAAAATTATCTGAAAGCATGGCTCGACGATGCTGAGGTGGGAGAACATCCTCCCGCCCTCCCCACCCAGCCTCTCCAGCCAGGTCTGTGGGTACAGAGCAGCCCATCCCCATGCCAGAGCCAAGGCCTGCAGGAGGCAGATAGGATTCACAGTCTGGTTACTGGGAAGGAGGATTATGCAAAGCGGCAGCATTTGGCAGGGCCGGAGCAGCAGAGGCACGAGGGAAGGGAGGAACTTGGTGCCGTCATAAATCAGCAGCAGGTGGATTTATAGCAAAGCCCCTCGATGCTCCTGACTGCACCCAGTCTGGTCACAGCTCCTACCCTGGCAGGAGAAGTCCCCCAAGATCATCTTCACAGAGGGATCCCCAGTCTGTCTGTCCGAGCTGCTGAGCAGGGACACCAACCCTGCCCACCTTGCTCTGCAAGGAAAGGTTTGTCAGAAGGGCTGGACAACTCCAGGTGGCCAATCCAGGAGGTAATTTGCCTGGGATTCACCCCAACAAGGAGGCTGAGCATGCCTAAGAGCTGAGAGCAGGGCAGGGCTGACCTGCCACCCTGCTTGGTCAGGAGCCCGTCATGGTGTCAGGACATGGGATGTGGAGCTGCTGGAGCCAGTCCAGAGGAAGCCACAGAGATGCTCCCAGGGCTGGAGCCCCTCTGCTCTGGAGCCAGGCTGGGAGAGCTGGGGGGGTTTACCTGGAGAAGAGAAGGCTCCAGGGAGACCTGAGAGCCCCTTGCAGGGCCTAAAGGGGCTCCAGGAGAGCTGGAGAGGGACTGGGGGCAAGGGATGGAGGGACAGAACACAGGGAATGGCTTCCCAGTGCCAGAGGGCAGGGTTAGATGGGATATTGGGAAGGAATTCCTGACTGGGAGGGTGGGCAGGCCCTGGCACAGGTTGCCCAGAGAAGCTGTGGCTGCCCCTGGATCCCTGGAAGTGTCCAAGGTCAGGTTGGGCAAGTTTGGAGCAATCTGGTCTAGTGGAAGGTGTCCCTGCCCATGGCAGGGGGATGGAACAAGATGGGCTTTAAGGTCCCTTCCAACCCAAACCACTGATGGAGCTCTGCAATACTGGGCAGCACCAGCCAGCCCAGGGCTTCTGCAGGAAACAAGGAGTTAAACCAAACCCTCCTGCCAAACCATTCTGTGCTTGGGAGGAAAGGTTCAGATGGACTCAAGCAGACTGGAGCCAAGGCCATCCTTTCATTCCTGAAGGCTCCTGCTCCAACCTCCTCTTTTGTGCGAGCCGCCAGGACCGCACAAATAAATTGGGACCGACGTGCTAAAAATAACCTCCCCCAATAGCTCCATCATTTATATCCATAGCAACATTGCTTAGAGCCTTTTCCCTGCCTGTGGGCTGTCTCACACTCAGTGCTGAATGCCAGGCTGGAGATTGGCAGCTTTCATAAGGAGCCAGAGCCCGGTGGAGAATCAAACGCCGGCCGCGAATGCGAAGGGGCTGCAACTTCGTGCTATTATTTCTGGGCATGTTCATCTCACAAATGGTCTTTAGTCATCCACTATTATCATGATGATAAGCCTTCGACTGTGAACTCCTGAAGCAATAATAAAACCCGAAGCCATTGGCATTTGTGCCATTTAAAATCCACTCGCCTTGGGGAAAATGATCCTTTTAATGATTATTAAGCCATTTTTCTCCAGCGTCACCCAGTCTTGGAGCACTTCCAGAATTCATAAGTAACATACAACCATTGAAATGGAAAGGAGATGGTTCTTTTGATTATTATTATTTAGGCCTGGCCTTCAGATCCCATCACTGCTGTCGCCTACAGAGGTGAGATCTTTAATGGCTTTGGGATCATCACGTGAGCAAGAGCATCACTGACCACGGGATCTGATGCCTGATGACCAGGAGGCAAAGCAAGGATTCAACCCAGCCTCCCTGAGAGCCTTGGGAAAGCTGGGCTGTCAGCGATGGATAAAGGAGCATTCACACCTTGGGATCATGCCTAGACCAACACCTTGAGCATTTAGGCAGAAAAACATAACAAAGTGTGGGGGGTTTTGTCTTCTTCAGTCAAAAGGGGCACAGAAGGTTCCCCTGCTGTACAGCTGTGCCCATTACATCAAAGCAAGTCCTGACCTTCACGCCCAGCTCCTGCTATTCCTGATGTTGACAGCAGCTCCCTTCCAGCAGTAATTTCCTGAGCTGCCAGAACCCTGGTCAGTGAATTGTGCTTCACTGAGCTCGTTTTCCATCCATCTCCCCTGGGAACAGCGTGGGGAAGGAGGGACAGGGCTGTGTCTCAGTAGGAGGTGTGGGGGGAGTGTGCAAGTTTGGTGCAGGAAGGGGATACTGGGATAATTCCAATAGGCAGCTGTACGTGTGAATGCACCAGAGGGAAGGATTTAGTGTTTTGGTACATTTTTGTGCATTCTGGAAATTCATAAATGAGTGATTGGAATGAGAATCAGTCAGGAATACCCAGGTGAATGTTTCTCCCCACTTTACCCCAAACCCCTGAGACCTTCCTTAAAGGAACACATCGGTTGCAGGTCGGGAAAATGGGAAAAGTCTGTGGGGAAAGAATGGGAAAAAATCCTCAAGGCTGTTATTTTCTGAGAAACCCAGAGACAGACTCCAAACCAGGAGTGACAACCCAGAATGAGCACCCAAAATTCCTGAGCTGGGACAGGGGCAGATCTGCCAGCCCCTGCCTGTCCCCTCTCCCTGCAGCCCAGCTTGGTGCTGTTTTCTCTTCTGCCAGCAGAAGCCACTCATGGAAATGCAAATCTGCCTTAATTGAGGAGGTTATCAAAGAGCAATTGGGATCCCAGCTCTTGTGTTGCTCTCTTGGGGTCTCCCCTGCAGGGCTGTTGGAGAGTGAGGGATGCACCCATTCCACCAAGCCATGATCTCCTCTCCCACCCCTTTTCCCCTAATCCCAGGATGTCCACCAAAGCAGGACAAGGACATTTCCTATCCCAAGCTGGCTCAGGTGGGGTTTGGCCTCATATTGCTCAGAAATCTGAATGGGGGACAAGGTTTTTCCAGCAGAAACCTCTCCACCACATTAGGCAGGCGAGTGCAGGTCACTGGGGGTGCCCTGAAGGTACCAGCTGTGCCTCCTCTGCCCTCCTACCCCTTCCTGAAACCCCTGGGGATGGTTGCCTAAGGAATCTGGGAGAGCACAGAGGAGGAACCAGGTGGGATGGGATCCTGCTTAGCTTCTGGAGCAAACAGCCCTTCTCAGGGACCAGGTTCACCAAGGAGAAGGGGACAGGGTAATTTACACCAGGGATGGGGGAGCAGAGATGGGGGATCCCGGGGATCTGTGGGGCCTTTGCAGAAACCCAGCAGGGACCAAAGCCCCCCCTCAATGTCCTTCTCTATCACAGGAGGTGATGGAGCTGTTGCTCCACCTCTGCCCCTCAAAGATGGACCCCAATGTCCCTCTGTAGCTCCACTAACTCATCCCCAGCAGTCCCCATGGGGTGCCAGCAGCCCTCTCCTCTCTCCACAGGGCCCCCCATCATCTCCAGCACCCAGACCCAGCACGCCCTGCACGGCCAGAAGGGGCAGATCAAGTGTTTCATCCGCAGCACTCCACCCCCAGACCGCATTGTGAGTAGCACCCGGGGCACGGCGGGGGCCTGGCACACCCCGGGCTGCCCCGGGCTCACCCCTCTCTCGCTTGGCAGGCTTGGTCCTGGAAGGAGAACGTCCTGGAATCCGGGACCTCCGGGCGCTACACGGTGGAGACGGTCAGCACGGACGAGGGGGTCATCTCCACACTGACCATCAGCAACATCGTCCGGGCCGACTTCCAAACCATCTACAACTGCACTGCCTGGAACAGCTTTGGCTCCGACACCGAGATCATCCGGCTCAAGGAGCAAGGTGGGCATTGCTGGGGCCTGCTGGGGGCCGGGGGGCAGCGGGAATCAGCGCCCGGCTGGGCTTTGAGAGTGGGGAGATGCTGTGGCAGGCAGGAGGTGCCCAGGAAAGCTCTTGGGATGCCAAAGAGGAGATTAAGAAATTAGGAAATGAGGAAGGATGGTGACAACGCTCCAGCCATTGTAGCTGCAGGATTGCATCATTAGGGTACCTGGTCCTGGCAGGGAGGCAGGAGGGGGGACTCTGCCTGATAAGCTATTCCTGATTTTACTGTCCTGCTGAAGATGGAGGGCACAAGATGATCCTGCACCACTTGTTCCCTGTCCCACAGCATGAGGTGATGGCACTGCCCAGGGCTGGAGGATCATGGATAGCCTTGGAGAGACAGGAATGGCTGCTCCGAGCAGCCCCCACTGCTCCACGGTGCTGGGAGCGAGCGGCAGGAAGGCGTCTGGGCTGGTGGAACTCTCCATCCCGGCCACCAGCCACCCTGCCAGCATGTTTTACAAGGCTGGGCTTACCCACCCAGCCTCGAAGCAATTCCCAGGGGATGGCCAGGGGATTTCCACTCCCAGGGCTCTCCATAGCAAGGGAGGGAGACGGCTTGAGTGAGGAATGCTTAGCTCCTGGAGGAACTCCAGTTCTCCTCTATTTTATTAAATGCCAGGGCAGGCAGGTGGATTGTTCTCATTAAGCCATGATTTATAGGCAAGGCTGGCGTCCAGATTAAATCAGAGCTAAATGAACCCCTTAAAATTAGCCTTGGGCTCCTTCCAACGCAAACAGAGCCAGTGGTTTTTCCAGGTCGCCTGCCAGTCAGCGGGAGCGCTCGGCGGCAGGGCCGGGTCCCAGCGGAGGGTGGCCGGGCAGGCTCGGAGCTGAGATCCCTCCATCCCTGCTAGGCCATGCAAGGGACCAGCCCTGCCCTGGGCAGGGGGACACTGAGGGGGGCAGAGGCCATCCCCTTCACGGGGACAGCCCTGCGGCCGGAGCACGGAGCGGAGCGGAGGGCTGAGCGCTCAGGAGGGCTGCGCTGGGTGCTTGGGCTGGGCGAGGCTGTGGACACTTGCTTTATTTTCAAACAGGTACGGAAATGAAATCAGGAGCTGGTATTCAAGCAGGTATGGAAATCATGAGCTGACCGTGAATGTGAACTGTCCCCAGCCATTACCACACCTGAGGGCCCGGCATCCTCCTCCTGGCCCGGCAGCTTTCCGGCAGGGCAGGCAGGGCAGGAAGGGGTGTAGGGAAACTGCAGGGCAGTGACTGGGGCAGGACTGGGAATTTGGAGAGGTCAGCAGAGCTCCCCTCTGCCACTGACCCACCCTGCAAACCAACACTTTCTGTGCCCCAGCTCCCCAGACCCCGAGAGGGGGATGATGTTGCACAGCCACGTTTTAAATGCTGCGGAAGTCCCAGAAAGTGCCATCATGGGACAAAAAAAGAGGGAGAAGTGCAAGTTTCCAGGCCTATTTGCAGGCATCAGCTTGTTTCAGCATCGTGGGAGAGTGCTGGCCAGCCTCCACTGGCCCCAGAGCAGGGCTGGATGGATCTTGGTGCAGATGCTGTGGGATGTGCTGCCCCTGTGCCTTCCTCATCCCCTGCCCCAGACCAGGGCTCCTGGGGGAGTGTGTGGCCAGCAATCTGCTCCTTCTCAGTCTGCCCATCCCCTTGGGACACCTTTTATCATTCCAGCCATTCCTGTCACTGCCCCTTTGCAGTTACCTTTTTCCCAGCCCAGGAGAGAGCCCTGGGTGCTTTCCCCACCCCATTCCTTTATGTGATTCTCCATCATCTTCATCCCCATCCCCACCTGCTTCTCACTGGGCTCTGCATTGCAGATCCCACTCCCCCAAAGCCAAGAGCAAGCCAGCCCTCCCAGGGTTCCCAGGCTCCTGTCTCCTCACCCCTTTGGTCCATATTCCCCTGTGAAGGCCAAAAAAGTCCCATAAGGAGTTGCTGTTGTTGGCAGGAGCACTGCCTAGCAGGTGGTCTCAGAAAATCCCAGTTTCTTCTTGCCATGGCTCAGCTGGAGTGTTGGAGAATGCTGGTTTTCGGGTGAGCTCCTCAGGGCAGCTGGATCCAGCTCCAGCATCTGCTCCCTGAGCTCCAGCACGAGGCTGCAGAGCACTGATGGGACTTGCCTTTTCACTGCCTGGGCACTCTCAGGGGTTTGGTGATGGATTCAGTGCCACGTGAGTCAAGTCACCAGTGGCCCAGCTTGAGTGACAAGTGACACATCAAGGGACCAGCAGGCCCAGGCAGGAAATTCATGAGCAAACCTGAAAGTGAGAAACATCAGCTCTTTTAAGATCAAGTGTGAGCAGAAGAGCTTAAACTCAACCAGCACCACCGTTTTATCACCCTGCAGTTCCCAGATTAGGCCTCAGGAGCCAGGAAGCCCCATGGCCACTACTAAAGGTTTACATGAAGTGGCTTTAGAGCTCCCAGCTGGGGTGAGATAACAAGGAAAAAACCCTTTGCTCACTGCACAGTGGGTGCTGGTGAAGTCACAACTCCCCCAGTCCTACCAGTATGGGTGTGTGTCCCCTAGGAAAGATGAAAGGCACAGGCAGGACCTGTGGTCTCAGGTCCAGGATGAAATTTGTGCCCAAGCCCAGCTCCACACCAGTGGGACGTGGAAAATGGTTCCTGTACTCCAGTCAGGTGCAGCCGTGAGGCTGCTGGGCTGTGCTTAGCAGAGTCACACACGTGTCCCCACGTCCCCACTCCAGCAGCATTCACATCCCACACCTGCACACACCTCTGAGGAGGAGGACCACCTCTCTGCTCCCATTTCCCTAAATTCATCCCATCCATTTCCAAGGCAGGCATTCCAAGGAGAAAACACACACTGGAGGTGTCCAGGGAAGTGGAGAGGACATGATCACCCAGCTCAGCTGGACACCCTGGAAAGGGTTATCCCTCTTTGGGGTCCATGAGAGCCTACAGGGAGCTCAGAAAGAGCAGGACCAGGGATCTGCAGCTTTTGGGGACAGGGTCTTTGGGATGTGGTTTCTCAACCCAGGCAAGGGAGGCGATTTGTGGTACTCACAGCTTTGGTGTCCCACAGAGGGACAGCTGCCTGTCACTGCCTGTCCCTAATCCAGGGAGCAGCCACCAACCCAAAAGTCACCATTAAGTTGGAACTGTGCTTGGAGGGAGCAGAGGGACTGAGCAGGGAGATAACAAGGCTCAGGGGCTCCAAATCTGACCCCTTCCCCTTACACATGATTTCATATTTCACCCCCCTTCCCTGCACCTCCCAGGCTGCTGCTGGGATCTGTGGGGATAAATCAGCTTTGCTGGCTGAGCCACAGCCCAGAATCCCTGCTGGGAACCCAGCTCCAGGGTTTTTGTAGGCAGAAGGATGTAACCCCAGCTCTGCCTCCCACGGACCCTGCCTGCACATCCCACCCCACAGCCTCAGCACAGGCCATCCCTCCTGTCCCACTCCTTGTGGCACCCTCAGGAGTTTGGGAAGGATGACAGAGTTGATAAGCCATGGAAGAAGGCAGGAAACTGGGTTGTAAAACTGGCAGGGGCTGTGAATGATGGTTCTTGGGTTAACTCATCCATCAGCCTGCTCAGATGTCATTTCTCTTCCTTAATAATATTAACACATTGTCTTCTTCTGCACTTCATCCTTTTGAGATGCTCATCTGTTGGCCTGCAGGGCACTGAGGAGAGCAGTTGTTAAGCTGCTCCTCTGGCTGGCCCCTCCTGTCCCTCCCAGGGGGATCTGAGGCACAGAGAGCTCGGGCTGCACAAACTGCAGCGTCCCACGGGCAGCAGGGACGGGGGAGCGGGGAAGGAGGCCCCAAAACCCTCCCCGGGCTCCTCACCCAGCCACTTGCCAGTAGCCAGGGGTGGGTCCCTGGTGGGGGGAAAAGCCACCTCTGGGACCTTCATCCCGCTTCAGGCTCCCTCTCCTTCCTCTTGCAGAGTCGGTGCCCATGGCAGTGATCATCGGCGTGGCCGTGGGGGCCGGCGTGGCTTTCCTGGTGCTGATGGCCACCATCGTCGCCTTCTGCTGCGCCCGCTCCCAGAGGAGTAAGTGTGCCCCCTCTTCGGGAAAGGGTTGGGGGAAAGCTCTGGGGAGGGGGAGAATCGAGTGGGTCAGGGAGAAGCCAGAGCCTGAATCTACTGACACGACACCAGCACAAGCTGCTGCTCACGTTGACCTTCCAAGTGTTTGCTGCGAGCGGCAAACGTTCCCTTTTCTCATGGGAGAAGGGAAGTGCCTGTGGAAAAACATGCTGATCCCTGTTAGCAGCACAGGCAGCTTAGGAGGCAGGCAGGAAACCTCTTCATCCCTCCCCTGGAGAAATCCTGATGTCCAAGAGGGAGAGGCAGCCTCACTGTGCCACACCGGTGCTTAAAAACCCTCCATGGTTCTGCTTCTGTTTTAGTCCCAATTTTCCTGACATAACATGCATATTCCTGGCAGGAGTGACAGCCAGTGGAGGGATTTCCATGGGATATGTGGGTTTTGGAGTCTGGCTGCAGTGGGAATACAAGTTGAAGTGACATTAGAGACGTAGGTAGAGGAGGAGGGGCAGTGTGGCATCAAGTGGCCTCATTAAAAGGACACCAGGAAATTAAAGAATTGTTGGCTCCATGAAAAGGCACCAAACCAGGAGGGAGAAGAGTGTGATTGTCTGGAGCATCCCAAACCTCTGGGGAGAGAAGGAATTCTCTGTAGGACTCCGAGCTCCCAAGACACATGGTACAGATGCCAGGATGCCAAGAGCTCCATGGGTGTGCCAGAACACTCAGTTGTTTTATTTCTCCTTTTATTTCCCCCCCCCCCTTGATGGTTTGCAAAGCAGAGCCACAAGGCTGCTCCTGGATGTGATTTGGACACACAGACTCCCACAGCAGAAATGTGTTTAATTTCCAGAGCAATAATGATGCCTCTCCCTGTTTTATCCTGGGTTTTTTGAACTCTCACAGCCTCCATTAGCAAGGATTAACAAATTAAATGGGGGAATTCGTTAATCTTGCTTTTTGGGGAAGGACTGCTGATGGACAGGACCCAAACCAGGCCAGTTTGATGTTGTGGAGATCATTTGGCAGCGATGGATGATTCCAGCACCTGAAGGAGCACTTGGGGAGAGGTTGGCAGCATTCCCGGACCAGGGTACCAGTCCCTGCACTTCCCACAAGGCTCCTTTGCCACCTCACTTTGGGATCAGAGGAAGCAAGAAAAGATCATCCAAGAGTTCAGCAACAATCCCTGTCCTGACCTCCCTTCCCTCCCCGAAGTGAAAGGGGAAGAGGAGAGACAGACCCAGCCAGGGACAGCAGCAAATCCAAGGTGCAGGTGGGATTCCCAGCCTGAGATCCATGCAGGGGGTGCTGGTGGCAGTGGGACCACTCAGTCCCCCCTCACAGGGCTCCAAAAGCCACTTGGAGCTGCCAAAACAGGGTCTCTCCTCATTTTTGGGGGGGAGCTGGGAGCATCAGCAGCTGAACCAACCCTGCTCAGGGTGCAGAACCCTGCAGGGGAGGACTTGAATGTGCCAAGTGAACTTTTACGCCAGTTTTGAGGTGCTGATGCCAACTGGATGCTGTGGCCACTGTCTCCAGTGGCAGGAAGGCTGGAACACCAGGCTGAAAGATGAGGAATTTGATCCTGGTTAGTGGTGTGAGATGAGCAGAGGAATTACAGAGATCAGCTCAGGAATGATGGGGCCAACAGAGCACTTGGGTATCAGGAGAAGGACTCATTTCCTGCCAGGGTGACTGCAGATTCCTCTCCCAAGACAGACACTGGAGCATTGTGGCATCATTTACAACAACAGCCTGGTGCAGGCTGTGGGAGTGGTTGTGTGCTGGGGACACAGTGACCCAGCAGTAACTCAGGGGAAGGAATCTCCTGACCCAGCCACTGACCACAGCTGATGGCACTGGGGGAGGCAATTCTTGGCCTTGTTTTGAGGAAATGCAGGGGAAAAAAAAAAAAAAAAAAGAAAAAATTTAAAAAGGACCAGGTGTAGACACACCGAGCCTGGAGGCTCTGGAAAAGACAAAGATGACTTTACTGCACATCTGGTGTTGTATCTTCGGTGATTTAACGGCCCAGAGTTATTTAAGGGGGAGCACTCCTGGGAGAGAAGGTGCAAGACAGTGATTAGCTTCTCCTTGTGATTAAAGGCTCTGGCACCAGGAACGTGGTCCCAGCAGGAAAAAATAAAATAAAATAAAAGAAAGAGCTGTTGTAACTTCCCAGCAGAAGCTTTTGCCTTGTGCCCTGAGACTTGGAGAGGTCTGGGGGCTGCAGATATGGAGGGCAGGGGATGCTGAGAGAGATGAATTCAAGGATGGAGCTTCATGCTGGTCTCTTAAGCATCATCCAGTTTGGTTTAGAGATAAACCCCCCAATCCTGGCCTGGCAGAGCACTGCTGGTTCCGTTGGCTGGAGGCAGATCTGACAAACCAGCGGTTCAAGGCAGTTCTGGGGTCCGGGAGGGCTGGCACAGCCATCCTGGGAAGTGAGAGCCAGATCCGAGGCTGCAGTTCGGCTTCAAAGCTGCTGAGGTCTCACTGCTCAGATTTGCATCTGTGCCTGCTTTTCATCTCGGCTTTGCACCGCCGCCCCTGCTCCCGCCGCTCCGCGTCTGTGCTTAACTCTGCTAAAATGACTTGTTCAAAGCACGCCTGACACCTTCAGGGAAGGCAGGGAGTCTCTCCAGGAATGTTTCTCTCTGTTCTGCCTGAAAACAGGCTGCTTGGAGATGACAGAATCCTCCCCGGCCGTGTCTGTGCTCATTGCTTGGCCTTTTCCATATGAGTCTGCACCCCAAACTGGGCAAGGCTTTCCTCAGGGGTTCCCAGCACCCAGGCAGAGCTGGTCCTGCCCTCAGGAGCAGTGTTTCCTAGGAATCAGCAGGCTGGATAATGATTCCACCAGCTGTGTGAGCAGTTCTGCTGCAGCCCAGCCCCTGTTAACAGCACCATGACTGTGGCACAGACCAGCCAAGCTCCCAAAGGAATCCCAGCAGGAATCTTAGCTGTCCAGAGGTGGCATGCCCATACCCTATGGTGATATTGCTCCCCTAGTTCTTGGATGAACTTGCTGAGCCAGGTTTATTTTCCCTGGTGCTGCCAGGCATCCTCAGCCAGCTCCCTGCGGATGCTCCACCACTGCCTTGGACTAAACCCCTTCTCCATCTCCCTCTTTTCCCAGATCTCAAGGGTGTGGTTTCTGCCAAGAACGATATCCGCGTGGAGATCGTGCACAAGGAGCCGGCCTCGGGCAGGGAGGCGGAGGAGCACCCGACCATCAAGCAGCTGATGGTGAGGATTTCCTTCCCCTCCCTAAGCCATCGCTCCAGGTGTTCGATAGGAACGAGCCCGGGCAGGTGTCCTTCGTCCCGTGATCCCCACTCATCCTCCTGCCAGAAATCCTCCTCGAGCGAAAACCGGGCTAAATGAGGAGGGAGAGCTGGGGAGGGGTTTGTTGCAGCAGCCCGGCTGCCCTCGGGGCTAATTGCGAGGCTAATCTGCCACCTCAGGCAGGGAGAGCTGCACAGGGTGTGGAGACACACAAGGGGTGAGCACCAGGTCATAACGAGCTCGTTAACCGGGCTGCTCAGAGGGTTCTGTGGGCAGATCCAAGGTGTGCACACATCTGGGAGCAGATCCACAGGTGGGGGCCAAAAGAACGGGAAGGAAAAGGCAAGTGGCTGTAAAAGCAGAGTTAAAAGAGCAGGTGGGAAGGGCAGAAGGGATTGAAGAGGCCAGAGGTTGATTTCCAGCCTGCTTAGTGTTTCTTTTTCCTCATCTGACCCTCAATTTTTTGGGCAGAACTTGTATGTCCTGCCTGCAAAAACTGTTCCATGAATTCCCGGTGGGAAGGGAAGGCAAGGCTGAGTGTCGTTGTAGTGTGGGTGGAATTGCTTGCTGGAATTACCAGAATTGCCGGAGCACTTACACAGCCAGGGAGCCTTAAATGAGGAGGCAGGAGGAGGTGGAGATCTGGCACCTTATCCCAGCACCACTGAGGCTTCTCTGCAAGACCCTTCATTCCTAGTAGGGCTTTGCCCTGAGAAATCCGCAAATCTGTGGAGGGATTTGCGAGGCTGGAAGGACAGAGGAGGCTGGGATTGGGTTTGCAGCAACCTGCTGGGATGAAGGGGAATGAGAAGCCTCTTCTCCATGGGACTCTGTACATCATCTGTGTGATCAGCAGCACCAAGCCCAGGTCTGTCTCCCGTAGAAGGGCCTGGGATTATCCCAAATGCCACTCCAGGCCACAGGCACCAGGTTGGAAGCACACACAGCAGAGGAGACACACACGGAATATTTACCATTGTGAATAAAGGAGGAAGAGGATGGTCATGGGAGGCCAGGTACAGGATCTTGGAAGACATCCTGGGGCCTTTCCTGGGGTATTTGCCAGATCCAGAGGGTGGTTCCACATCAGCACGTGCCCTTGGCGAGGCTGGGAGCGGAGCAGGGGGAGCTGTGCCAGCCACGTTGCAATGAGGATTCTGGCAGGGTGGAAATGGTGCAGAAAAAAATGGCAATTTCTCTTTGAGAACCAGGAAATAATGCCTTCTGGGGAGAGGTTACAGAGCTCCTGGGCCTGTCAGGCAGACCTGTGAGAGGTGATTTGGTCACAGCCTGGTACAAAGGGGCTGTTTAAGAGCAAACAGGGTGGCAAAGCCGAGGGTTTTCAGATACAACATGACAGAGACTCACAAGCCTGGCTGCTGGACCAGGACAAGGCACTTCTCCCCCTCTCCTGGCCAAATCCAGGAATTTTTCCCGAAAATACAGCAGTTGGAAATAAAGTCCTTGTATCAGCACTGTTCAGAAGTTGGAAGAGATGGATCCATGATCTCTGCTGCCCATGCTGGGTGGGTTTGGCACTGGCTGGGACACCCTACCTGCAGAGAAAGGTATCAAAGCCCCCTCCCCTGCTTGGACCAGAGCCTCCCCACCCTCATGTGCCCTCTGCAAGGACATTCCCAGGAAATACTTCCCAATTTCTTATCTCTTCAGAGTCCCAGGGACCTCTGCTCTCTCTCATCCCGCTCCTCGCTGTGTCCAACAGCCGGTGTGGGCATCTCCTCTGGACACCCAGCCTGTGGGTGCTGAACAGATCCCTCAGAAAAGGCTCCAAGTTTGTCAGTGAAATGATGGATCAACTCAAAAACTTCCTCTTGCTGTTGAGCAGCAACAAGACCTCTCTGGCAGGGGCAGTGGGGGCAGTGCCCAGCACCTCACCCCAGGATTTCCAGCTCTGCCCACTCCCTGTGCCAGCATTATTCCCCTGCTGCTTCCTCATTTGCCTTCTCTGAGCTTCCTGGGAGATGTCCATCCCAGGCTCAACCTCGACAGCGTCCTTTGGGATGTTCTTCTCGCCCTCACCGCACCTGGCAGCTCAGTAGCACTGGGAATGTCATTGCCGTGCCGGGATCGTTAATGCGGATGTTAAGGAGGAGTGGCCACGCTGGCAAAACAGCTGCTGCCCCTGCACTCCTCGTCCTGTCATCATCCCGGCCCCTCAGCCGAGCTCCTGTGATCTGGCACAGCCTGACCTGCTGAATTTCGGGATCCCGTGCCTTTGCTCCTCGGTTTCCCACCGTGTCCCGCTCTGCCGGAGCATTCTTGGCCCCCGAGTGCCAGCGGGACCCTCCTTCCTCCCCCGACCGCTGCTGCCTTTGTCGTTCTGCAGCCATCTGTGACCTCAGCGGCTCGCCGTGCTTTTCACAAATAATTATTCATGCATCTCTAAATTCATTAACACCTTAGGATACGCGTCACGCTGGCTGATTTGCATATGTTCACATCGCCTCAGCGCCGCTCCCCACGCTCCTGTTCTGCCAGGCAGTGCCTACAGGCAGGGAAAAAGCTGCCAGCTCTGGTGGCTGGAGGCAAAAGAGCCCGATAAAGGGTCTGATCCTGGGAAAAATAAATCACAAGAGCAGCATTCTCCCTCCTGCCGGGATGCACTGTGTCAGCCTGGCTGAGCCTGGGCTGGGAGGAGAGGGATGAGGAGCATCCTCGGCCCCGACGTGGCGTAACACCCTCTGTTACCATGGCTGGGTTCATTCCTGGCTGCTTGGACCCTCTGCCTCCCACCTATGAAATGAGGCTGGTGATCCCAAAGGAGCCACCCCCACTGCCTGGAGCAATCAGAGACAGTCCCAAAGTGACAGACAGGCTGGAGCATCCCAAGTCCAAAGGGTGACCGAGGCATCACCTCTGGTTCATATTTGGGGTGGAACAGTCCAAATAACCAATCCAGTGACAGGTTGATCTTTTCCTTGCTCTCCTTTCGTTCCTGTCTCCTGAAGCCCGTCCCACTGCTCTGAGGGCCGTTCCCAGTTTGGTCACAGCCATCACAGGTGATCAACTCACCAGACACTTTTTCCAACCAGGAGCTCAGCTCAGTTCCCTGCAGAAGAGAAAAACTCAAGCAGAATTCCCATTCAGGGTGAGACTCATCCCACCTGCAGCCCAGCAGACACAGCATCCCTTTCTCTGCCTTTCTCCCTGGAAAATGCTCCACGTGCCCAGAGGCCGGTGCCACCACAGCCCTGGGAAGCACCAGCAACCTCCGAGCTGGCGGATCCAGGTCTGGATCAGAGCCAGGCTGCACCTCCACAACATCCAGCCTCACAGGGGAGGTCCAGGGCGCATCCCTCCTGCACAGCCAACCCCTTCCAGTGGCACCAGCTCATCCAAAAGCAACACTTTGGGGAGAGGTGGAATGAGGTGGTGCAGCTTCAGCTGGGATGGGCAGCACGCACAAATGGTTGGAAGTTCACATCACCAGGCAACCAAGGCCAGAGCTGCTGTTTGAAGGTGATAAAGCCTTGTCCAGCTGAGAATTCCCAGGATTTTTTTAATTATTATTATTCATGGGCTTGTCTCCTCCCTCTGTTGGGAGCTGAGGAAGCCACTGTTTGGGAATCATCTCCAACATCCCTCACCCTGGTAGGGTCAACCAGCCACCTGCACGGCAGTGCCGAGGAGCATATTGGTGCTGTCACTGGCTGGAGAAAGGCACAGCTCCGATAAAAATAGCCCAGGCATGACACTGGAGCATCCTGTGCCAGCGCACTTGGTCATTCCTGGTCTTTTTCCACGCATTTCCCGCTCTCCCTTCGTAACGCCCATCAGTGTTGGTGACGAAGTGAACCTGAGTCAACTTTCCTTCCCTCCCGGTGTTTACCCAGCGGCGGCAAAGCGGAAGCGACGCTAATGAGCATCTCAGCACCTGCTAATTAACGCCGTAAGGTCACATCGGGGCTGAGCCGCCACGCAGGTTTAATAAAGGTCACGTTAATGAGCGGCTGTAGTGGGGGAGTTGGCGATTCGGTGATGAGATGGCACTTTATGGGGGCTCCCTGCAGCCCCCAAATCCACGGACCCAGAGCATCCTGCCAGCCCCGGGCACAGGCAGGGTCCCCACGGGACTGGAGGGGCATCCCAGTGCACGGGTCACTGCCACCATCCCTGCAAGAGCATCATAAAACGGGGTAAAACACCCCGTCAAACCCGCCGCTAATTCCACGGAGGTTTGGTCACAGCGAGGCTGTCCCCTTGCTTCCCACCTGCCTTCTCCCTTCTCCGTTTCTGGGTCTTGCCTTGCCCACCCGGGTCACACACGCCAAAAACCAACCAAATCCGAGGAGAGGTGGTTTTTCCTTTTCTTTCTGAGCCAGGACTCGTGAAACCCTTCTAGGGGTTAACACCCCCAATCCCTGCCTTTGTTGCGATGCTTTAGGGGATTTAGGGGGTTGCTGGGGCTGGAAGAGCAAAAAAAACCTCCACATCCCATTTTGGTTGCAGTGGTTTAATCCTCGGCGACACTTGTATTTATCCAGGTAAATCAATGGCTGATACAGGTTTTCTTTTCCCTGGGAAAACTCAGGTACTTTAATTTATTGCCTTTAACAGCCACATCAAAGGCTTTCGGGAGATGAACAGCAAGTGCCGCGGGGTGAATTTCCACAGCCACTTACCACCTTAAAGAGGAGAGAATTTGGGCAATAAAAGGGGATTTGAGGGCTGTGATCCCACAGAAGCCGGGCTGGAGGCGCCCGATAAATACGGGAGAAGCTAAAAAAAGGCAACTGAGAAATTGGTTGATAATTATTCCGCTTCCTGCACAGCCTCCCGTGCTGAAGGAGGGGTAATTAAAGCGTAGTGTAATTAATGTGCACCTTGCCCTTCCCTCCCGATCACGGCCAGCCTTCAAAGGCATACTAATGAGGTGCCCAAGTTCAGCTGAGGAGGGAAGGATGAAAAGATGGGGGAAAAACAGCAAAATAAGGAGATTCTGAGGGTGTTGCTTTGGGCAGGTGGTGCCGCCCCAACCCTCACCACGGTAAATAGTTCACTTTCTGCATCAGCCGGGCCTGTTTTGTCGAAAACCACCTGTAACCCAGGGAATCGCGAGGCTTTTTTTCCCCAGCCCCGCTGCTCTCCGACACGGCCCCGCTGGGGCATCCCTGGTGACAACTCCCCTGTGCCGTGGGGCTGATGGTGGGTGCGGGGCTCAGCCCACGTGGCGTGGGTGCTGGTGGGGACAGCCGGGGACCACAGGGACGCTGACCCCCCACCCGCATCCTTTCCTAGATGGACCGGGGGGAGTTCCAGCAGGATTCGGTGCTGAAGCAGCTCGAGGTGCTCAAAGAGGAGGAGAAGGAGTTTCAAAACCTGAAGGTGAGTCAGGCCCTGGGGACATGGCCCCACTCTGTCCTTGGGTCATGTCCCCGGTGTCACCAGTGCTGGCCCACCCCAGAGGGCTGTCCCTGTGTGGGGAGGGATGCTTTGGTACCCCGGGGCTGTTGTCTGGCCCCAGCACCCTTTGGGGGGGATAATAAAGGTGTGTGCCAGGAGAGGGCAGTGAGAGGGGCAGCTGTGCCCCGATCTGGAGGGGGCTGAGCAGGGTGGGACACATTGGTGGCACGAGGGGACATTGCTGCTGTGGGGTTGGTGGTTGAGGGTGTCCTTCAACGAGGGGCTCTGAAGGATGGTGGAGGGTGTGGAGGAGGCAAGACTGAGGGGTCTGCAGCTTCCTCCTGAGGGGCAGCAGAGGGACAGCACTGATCTCTGTGACAGGACCCAAGGGAATGGCTGGAACTGAGTCGGGAGGGGCTAGGCTGGATATCAGGAAAAGGTTCTTCCCCCAGAGGGTGGTTGGCACTGAACAGGCTCCCCAGGGCAGTGGGCACAGCCCCAAGGCTGCCAGAGCTCCAGGAGGTTTGGACAATGCTCTCAGGGACAGGGGGGGATTGCTGGGGTGTCTGTGTGGGGCCAGAGGTTGGACTCAGTGATCCTTGTAGGTCCCTCCCAACTCAGGATATTCCATAATTCTTGCACGTCCTGAGTGAATGGGCAGGGTGGGTGCCCCAAATGCCCCACAGGACCCAGGGAAAGCGGGCACCACCAACCCGCCCCCGCTTTCTCCCACTCTGCAGGACCCCACCAACGGCTACTACAGCGTGAACACCTTCAAGGAGCACCACTCCACCCCCACCATCTCGCTGTCGGGCTGCCCGGCCGACCTGCGCCCGGCCGGGAAGCAGCGGGTGCCCACGGGCATGTCCTTCACCAACATCTACAGCACCCTGAGCGGGCAGAGCCGCCTCTACGACTACAGCCAGCGCTTCGTGCTGGGCATGGGCAGCAGCTCCATCGAGCTGTGCGAGCGCGAGTTCCAGCGCGGCTCCATGAGCGACAGCAGCTCCTTCCTCGACACCCAGTGCGACAGCAGCATCAGCAGCAGCGGGAAGCAGGATGGCTACGTGCAGTTCGACAAGGCCAGCAAGGCCTCCGCATCCTCCTCCCACCACTCCCAGTCCTCTTCCCAAAACTCGGACCCCAGCCGGCCCCTGCAGAGGCGGATGCAGACGCACGTTTGAGCCCCTCCGGGGGCCGCTCGGGACCCTCCGCGTGGGCGCCGTGGCGCTCGGACAGTGGCGCCCGCCGGCAGCGGCGGTGGGAAGAGGCCGGATCCAGCCCCCAGAGCGGGGCTGCGGGGCGGGGGGCCGGCCCAGCATCCCCCCCTGCCCGGTACATGCTAAGCACAACCCCGCCGAGGACGCGCTGAGCCCCGGGGAGCCGGAGCCGCCCCCTCCGCGGGGCTGGGGACGCCCCCGGCCCCGCCGCGCCCCCCCAGCCGCTCGCCTCCGCTTCCCGCTGCCCTCTCCCACCCGGCTCCTTCCCTTCCCTCGTCGTGTTCGGTGTCCATACTTATAAGAGTCCGTTTCGGGGGGGTTTTGGGGGGGTCCCGCCACGTGGGACAGGATGGGGGGGACATCGGTGGGACAGGGACCCCCCGGGAAGGGCCTCTCCAGCTGTATCGCGGCGCCGCGGTCAATACAAGAGGTGTTTCTCGTGGCACGCCTGGGCTGGTGGCCACCCCGTGGGGACATCGGTTTCCGTGGTGACACTTTGCCCAGCATAGACCTGGCCTGGATGTGCCAGGGCCTCCTGGGGGAACCCCCGGGGGGGCAGAAATGGCTGGTGGTGGAGGTAAACTGAGGCACGGGGCAGCTGGGAGCCCACAACCCCAGCGTGGGAGCCAGGACATGGGGCCTCACAGCAGGTAAGGGGACACGGGGACACAAGGAGGGGGGGACAGGCCACACTCTCTGCATCTCACAGACCCAGGTTTCCCTCACATGCCCCACCCATCGAGCCCCAGGAGCGCCCAGCCCATCCCAGCCTCAGCAGGACCTTTATTGGGTGCCAGCATGAGCCTCAACACCCCCATCCATTGGTTCCCCTGACACCCACGGCCCCACAGGGGGCCCTACAGCAGCAGGGAGAAGGCACCGGATGACCCTTCCATAGGGGGACGTTGGACACCCCCAACATTCACCTCCTGGAGCCGAGCACCCCGCCAGCCCCCCACCCAAGGCCCCTTGTCCCTGACACCAGTGGCACGCAGGCCCCAGGTGAAGGCTCCACCATAAATAAACATTTAAATTAATTAAATTAATCTGCACCCCCAAAGGGCCCCGGCAGACCCTGAGGCCAAGCACCCCTGGGTGCCCCCACCCGGGGGGGCTGCGGGGACAAGCCCCCGCGCCAGCGCTAAGGCACAGGACAGGGCTGCCGAGTAAAAAGGAAATAAAAAAAAAAGGGAGGGGGAATTAAATATCTGGGAGGGGGTCCAGGGGAGGGAGGAGGCAGCATGGGCCCCAAAGGCTCCCATTCCCTACGGGAGGGTCCCAGGATCCCCAAGATCAGCCCCTTGGCAGGGCCCTCGTCCGAGTGATGAGGGAATTAAGGGAAAGAGAAAGTCCAAGGCAAGGGCTCCTGCCCCGCCTCGCCCCCACAGGCCCGCTGGGAGGGAGGACCCCCCTCCCCTAAAGTCCCCTCCAAGTCCTTGGTAGCTTCAGTGCGTTGGTAGAAAAGGTGCTGGGGGCTCCCTGCGCCCCCCCAGAGCTGCCCCTGCCCCGGGGACCCGCGGCCCAGCGCGGCCCCCGGCCCTGCCGGCTCCGGCCATCCCAGGGCGCGGTGACGGCGGTGACCAGGACGCTCTGCCCTCAGTGACCAGGACGCTCTGCCCTCACCGTGTCCCCTCACGGCAGGCGCTGTGTCCCCTCGCAGCAGGGGATGACGTCCCTGCCGCCCTCAGAAGTAGGTGAGGTTCCTGACCAGTCCCAGCTCCAGCATCCGCTTGATGGCCACGGCCTCGTGCGACACGTTGTGCTCCGACGCCTGCGGGACGGGGAGCGGGGGATGACACCGGGCAGGAGAGGCCACGCGCCTTCGTCCTGCCCCTCCCAGCCCTCCAGCTTGCCCACCTCACCAGTGGGAGTTGAGCCCCCCAAAAAGAGGGACAGGACCCTCCCCACCTGATCCCCCTGGCCATGAGCCCTTCTCCTCACACATAAACACACGAGGATGGATCCAGCTCTCCGCGCTCCCAAAGACACGGGGCTGCAGGGAGAAGCTGGATGGTGACCATCCAACAGTGGGCCTCGACACCCATCGTGGGAGGGGAGCAAGAGATCCCCGTGGGAAGAGGCTCCCACACCAATCAGCCATCCCCCATCCCAGGGGAAAACAGGAGGGAGCGTGGACAAAAAATGTGGGGCAGACACTTACGGCCATGGACTTGAGCGTGACCTGTTCGTAGTAGTGGATGGTTTGCTTCTTGTTGCCCGAGTCGGGGTAGCCGAAGCCCGCGATGTGCACCAGGTCACAGAAGTGCAGCGCCAGGGTGATGGCCAGGAGCCCCGTGGTGGGCTTCTGGGGGACAGGGGCAGAGAGCCACAGCCTTCAGGAAGACGCACAGGACAGGCTGTCCCCCCTCAGGGGTGCAGGGGGACTGGCCATCCCCACCTCTTACCTGTTTGACCTTCCGTGGTTGCTTCATGGGGAGGTTGAGCACTTTAGCAGCAGTTACTTCCATGTAGTAAGGGTTGAGGATGCGCACTTGCTCCGGGTTGGCATCCCAGATCAACGGGGGCTGCTTCCAAAACCCTTTCCGAACCTGCAAGAGGACAGAGATGTCCCCAAGGGTAGGATGGGATGAGGGCTGAGCTCCGGAGCAGTCAGGGAGGGGTTGGACTTGCTTCCCCACCACACTCACCCTCTTCTTGTCATTGAGGATGGCCTCCATCCACTGGAAGTCCATGGGCTTGAAGGGCACCAGCACCAGCAGCGTGTCGGGGTTGTTCTCCGTCTGGGGGTCGAAGTGAGCTGACTCCGGGTAGAAGAGGCGCATGGTGGTCTTGGAGCCCACGTCCTGCTCATAACCATGGACCGGGGCGTTGTTCAGCCTTGGGTGGGGGGACACGGGGACATCACAGGTGTCAGCCCCCGCTGCGGGTGGCAGTGGGGAGGGAGCGGTGGGAAGGGTCCAGGGCCGTACCTGATCACGACGTCGTAGGTGTTGATGGTGTCGCCCATGGAGCTGTTGCGGAGCCGGTGGCCGTTGCCCACCACCGCACACCTCCGGCACTTCAGGCTGCAGAGAAAGCCCCGTCTCAACCAGACCTGCTTCAAAACTGGGGTGGTTTTAACCCCCAAGGGTGGGTTTAACCCCACGTTGCCCAGTCACCAAACCTTTCCGCGCTCCATCCACCACCCCTGGGTTGCAGAGGTTCATTTTGCCAAACCCCGGGCCCACAACAGATGAATTCCACCCCTCACAAGAAGAAGACAAAGACAGAAAAGCCCCTAAACCCACCCCGGTGTTACCTCTGGATGCTCTCGGGCAGGGAGTAGTGGGTGATGGACAGCAAGCGCAGGAGGACATCTTCTGCAAAGCAAGGGCCAGGAGAAGGTGAGGAAGGCAGCTCCTGCCTGGCACAAGGCCTGGGGTGCCGCCCCATCCCTGCCAGATTTCCTCCTGCCATTAATCCCAGCTCCAGGTGGATAATCCGTGCCTGGGGCTTAGTAAAGCCAGGCCCATCCTAAACCCTTTTAGAGGGCCCCCACACACCCAGGGCAAGGAGATACCAGCTGCAGAGTCTAAAAATCAACTTTCGGGGTGGGGGTGAACAGTCCCCAAAAAGCAACCTGCAGCAGTCTGTCAGAGGGAAGCTGAAACCTTGGGGAGCAGCAGCAGGACAGACAGACAGACAGACCCCCAGAGCACTGTCAGCACTCACCACTTCCCTTGGTGCCGTAGGGCAGCTCGTAGAGCGATGGCGTCTTCACCCAAAAATAGTCCTTCAGCTGCAAGAAGAGCGGGTGCTCCCTCGTGTAGCTGCCGAGGAGCAAAGGGTCAGTGAGACCGGGATGGGGGGGTGGCACAGGGAAGGGGGTCCTGGCTCTGCATCCCCCCACTCCCTCCTCCCAGCCCCAGAACTCACTTCCCGATGAACTGCGCCGCTTTCTTTTCCACCTCCCCAAGGGGACACGTCGTCTTGTTTTCTTGGACGGGGAAATAAAAGCTGTAAGGGAAGGAGTTAATTAAATCAAATTATGTCTGTTCCTCTGCACCCTCCTCCTGGCAAAGGGGGTTCCAGCACCCCACAGTGGGATTTGGGCCATGCCAGAGATATTTCCAGCCGGATTTAAGGCCAGCACTGCCTTGGATGTTTATCTGCTGGGCTTGCAGCCTTGCATCGGAAGAGGTCTCTCTTGCCCTGCTCATGGACCTCACGCTCTCTGCTTTACCCATCTCCATCAGCATCACTGGCACTGGGAGGAGAGCAGGGTTTTCCCATCCTCACGGGCTCAGGCAAACACCAGCATTCACCAAAAACCCTGCAGAGCCCCCCCACCACCACACACCGTGGGGGAACCTCGTATCGTGCCCCCCTTCCCCGGCAGCAGCCGAGGATGCTGCCACCTCCCCGCTCCCCTGGGATCCAGCCAGAACATGCTCCCGCATCCCCGTGCAGGACGGGCGGGAGGATGCCACCTCCTGGGAGTGAAGGAAAGGGCAGCAGGTCCTTTAAACTTGAACAAAAGGCACTCACAACTGTGTGTACCTGTCTTCCCGGTAGATTGAGTACCAAACCATCACCAGAAACAGCGCCAGCACCCCGAGTATCTTCCCTCCTGCGTGCCCAGAGGGGAGGGGGAGAGAAAAAACACCATTAAGCCAGTACCCTGGGGTTTAGATGATGGGATGTGGGGTCCCCTCAGCCCTCTGGGGATGTCCTGGTAGATCCAGGCTGGCAGAGCTTTGATGGGGAGAGGCTGGGGTTTAATTGACACTGTGCTCCAGAGAGCAGCAGCTGTGAGACAGAGCCAGGTGGTTTTGTCCCGGTTCCAAAAGCCACCACGACGTTTCTGTTTCCACCTTCTGTCAAAGGCCAGGCAAACATCCGTCTTTCCGGGTGCCTCCACCCATTTTTGTACCATAAAGTTCCAGGTGCCTGATTCCAGAGGTTCAAGGAGCCCAAAACCACCCTCCCTGTGGTTACCCCAGCACTCCATCACCCAGCTGGAGCTGCAGCGAAGCAGCATCCAACCCCCAAAAGCCAGATTTCCACATGCAAATCCCCCAGTCCTCCCCTCCCTGCTTGGACAGAGGAAGATGGGACTCACGAGACTTGTTGATCATTTTTATGAGCAGGAAAGGGATCAGGCGAGGGCCGGAGCTCTCATCGTGGCTGGTCACCTGCAGTGGGAAACAGGGAATGGCACTGGATGAGGGTAAACCCCACAGGAGCCACCCCAAAACCCCAACCAAGAGGCATCACCCCCTGCCTGCCCATCTGTGATGGTGCAAGGGTTCCCCAAGGGATTTACTTATTTAAATCCACATTTCTGTGCTGCCAAAGGGTTGGTTTGTAGAGTTTATCAAAGCCAGGCAAGCCCCCAAGCTTCCTGAGGAGCTTCAGCCCTACAGGTTAAAGGACAAAGAAAAAAAAAGGAATTAAAGAGAAAAAGAGCCCTCAGCGGGATTTCAACCACAAAGTCCCACGGGTGGTGATTTTAAGCCCAGCTGAAGCCTCCACCTGGCACCAGCAGCCACAAAGCCCAACGTGCCACCGCCGCCACCGAGCCAGGCAGGAAGGGCAGGAGCAGCCGAGGGGGTCAAACCAAAGAGCATCACGAACTCCACGACGCTCCAACGCCTTCGGTTCCTCCATCCCGGCCCAGGGCAGGGGGTGCCCCGAGCTCAGTCCCCACGCAAACACCGGCGGGGGAAGTGGCGCGACTTTCGTCCTCCTCCGAAACCTCCCGCTCCTGGAATGAGGAGCAGAGAATCCCGGGATCGGCCCAGCCCATCCCGCCAGCACACGGCAAGGATGGAAAATGAACTTACCGGCTGGGAGAAGCTTTGGGGTGCATGGGAGGCTTTGCTCCCAGGAGCGACTCCTGCTCTAAGCCCGGCTCAGAGATGGGCTTGGCTTGGCCACCCCGTAACTGAGCTCCTCCCCGCTCCCAGGAGCTGTCTCGGGGTGGGAGAGGAAGGAGCGTTAAATGCCAGCCGAGGGTGAAGGAGCACACCCGGGCTGGCAATCAGTGTCTCTCCATCAAAGTCTCCAGGGATTAGTCACCTGGGGAGGGGGGGCACCCACCTCACACCCCTCCCTGCGCCCCTCTCACACCCCTGCCTGCCTAACGAAGCACCACTAATGAACCTGGCACCTGCCACCTGCCCGGCAGGGCCACGGCCTCACCCAGCCAAGAGCGAGTCAAGAGTAGCAGCTCTGGGGGCAAAAATATCCAGAATTAGAAGAAACGAGACCCAAGAGAATCCCACAAGAGTCAGGCTCTTCCCTTCCTTGTCACAGGCTCCTGAAGTTAAAAGGGCAGGAGAGCAATTAATTAAAAAGGGCAGGAAGGGCAATTAAAATGGAATTAAGGGCAATTAAACCGTGCTAGAAGCAGTGGGATGGGACATCAGGCAAAGAAAACTGTCCATTTGACAGAAGAGGGATGAGGACAGAAACAGGGACTGCCGAGGTGGTCCCCTGGGAAAGCACCTGTCTCCCCTGAAATGTTCCTCCTTCATAAAACATGGATAATCGTGCTCCACCATAACTTGGGGGCCCCAGAACGGGGAAGCAAAACCCCCCCATCCCCAATTCACAGCCCAGCTCTCATCCTGCATCCGTACTTCTGGCTCAACAAGCCCCTCCTGCCTGGAAAGATGAAACCCACCACTGGATCTTCAAGGAGCACATAGGGAGGAGGATGCTGAGGGGTCTCATCCCTTTACACGTTACAATTGCTTGGGAAAAATAAAATTAGGGGAAAGTGAAAAGCAGCTTGTGCTTCCTGGGGTTTTTTGTTCTACGCAAAACTGGCGATGAAAGCCCCGAGCGGAAATCCACTACCACAGCTGGAGGCTGGGGATGCTCCTGGGGGGCCTGAGCACCCCTCTTCACCCAGGGCTGGGATGCTGCTGGGCATCAGGACCCAAATTTAGCACCAAATTCACCCCCCAGCTCCCTCCTCGGGTGCCAAAACACCCCACCGAGCCTGCTTCACCCCTCCCACTGGGAAAATCCGCCCTCCCCGCAGTGTTTGCTTTTACATACCAGCTTTTTTTTTTTTTTTTTTACTTTTTGGTTTGTTTTTTTTGAAGGCTTTATGATCTTTTCCCAGGCTTGTACGCACAAGCTGGGCCGATGCAAAATTTATCTAAGGCAAACACGGTTAATAATCCCTGGGGAGAAGGAGCACTGTTTGGTGAAGCGTTCAGGGAATGCGGAGCAAAACAGAGCACACCCAGCTGCCCCCACGCCTGTGGTGCCTCTGGAATGAGTTCAAGCTCAGCCCTACCTGATCCACAGCCCAAATCAGAGCAGCTGCCAACAGGGGGAAGGTCTGAACACCCTGAGCTGGTGCTCTGGCTCCTCGTAGGGCTGCGGGGCGCAGTGATGCCAAAGAGTCCTGCTGGTCCCCCCAGCATTCCCACTCCTGCTATCCCTGTCCCATCTCAGCATCCTCAGAGCTCCCCATGGCAACCCTGGTCTTACAGCATCCTCAGAGCCCTCTTGCAGAAATCCCAGTCCTGCAATATCCCTGGTCCCATCACAGCATCCCTGTCCCATCACAGCATCCTCAGACCCCCTGCACCATCCTTGTCCCATCACAGGGCCCTCAGAGCCCCCCCAGCATCTGCCAAGTCCCCCAACAGAGACCTCTCATCACAACATCCTCCCTAGATCTCCCACCACAGCATCCCAATCCAGCAGGGAGGGACTCCGTGCTCGTCCCTCTCACGGGTGGGATCCCCCACGGCTCCCCCGGGGTCGGTCCAGGGCATCGCCTGCCCCACCAAGCCCCAGAGCTGAGGGGAAAGTCCCGGCTGGATTCAGCTCCCCACACCTGGGAGAAGCAACTGGAAAAGCCCCTCTTTGATGTCGGCACCCCCACAGCTCCTGGGCTGGGGATTATCGCTGCACAAAGGACTCAAAAGCCTCATTGCCCTTCCCCCCTTCCCCACCCTGTGTTCCAGGAAAGCCCCATCCTGGGAGATGCTGCAGAGGCAGCTCAAACCTCATGGAGTTTCCCTGTCTCCCTCTGACCTAAAAGAGGGATTTTGCCTGGCAATTTTTTACCATGTCCCCTGGGAGATGCCAGCAACACCCCGAGGGGCTGACCCTCCTGCTGGGGGAGGACCTCAGAGGAGCTCATCCCTGTATTTCCATCCATCCATCCATCCATCCATCCATCCTTTCATCCTTCCATCCCTCAACCTCAACAGCTCCAGCATTTCCAGATTTAAGTCATGCCAATCCACAGAGTGGTAGCAGGCACTGGCCAAGCTGCTCCCAAGCAAAATAAAAAGGGAATTTAAAACCATGGAACAAACTCAAAGGTGGGGGGTGCTTATAAATCCCCCCAGCCCATCCTGACATGGATGGATGGTGATCCCAGGCACCCACTGCCATCCCAGGAAAGCATCATGGACCAGCAGGCCATGCAGCAACAGCTCTTAGTACTTTTATGTTTCCATGGTAACCCCTGGATTGGGGAAAAGTGTGACACAAGGCAAGGACACCTCTCCTGTGCTCCCACCATCCCATCCCACGTGTCCATGGGACACAGAGCCGCCCACTGCCTGGTCCAGCTTCCCTGGGCGAGAAGGATGCTCAGTGGAGAACAAGCATCTCCAACAGTTTATCCCAAAAAACCATGCATTTATTTTTAACTGGAGGAGTGTTGGATTGTGCCCGAGGAAAGGATGCACCAGCAGTCCCTGGGCATTCACTCTCAGCAGTGGGAACCACTGGGAGACAGACAGACAGACAGACAGACAGCCAGGACAACACAGACCCCTCCGACCCCAGGCAGACCATCCCTCCTGAGCTTCCCAGGCACACGGAGCCTTCAGGAACCACCAGGGCAGATCCTACATTCCACTGGGGACAACAACCAGGATCGACCCCCAAGGAAGCAGTTTACAGCCCTGGGATTTTCCAAGCCCCCCTCCCACGGGATCTCTGCCTGTGGTAGGGCTGGGATTGCCGCAGGAGCCCCGGCAGATGCCAACGTGCCCCCCACGCCGGCACGGCCCTGCCCCGGCACAGCCACCGCGTGCCAGAGCCTGAGCACGACCTGGGAGGCGGCCGGGGGCGATCCTGCAGGGAAGCAAAGGATCCAGCCAACTCCAGGCACTGCCTGCGCTTGGCAGACCATCAAAGGCACCCAAATCCCCAGCCTGGCATCCCAAACCTTCCTCACCCCGGCTGCTGTGAGCTCCAGGTGCTCGGGGAATTGTTTTTTCCAAGCTGGGAAGAAAACTGAGATCCACAGCGGGGAGAAAAATCCTTGTGGGATTACAACAACCGCCGTCACAAGCCCAGAAGGCAGCAGGGTCTGGATTTGAGCCCCCTCCAAGGGATGCTGCATGGGGATGGGGATTCCGGGGGGGATACCGAAAGGGGACCAGGGATGCTGGGAGAGGACAAGGGATGCCAAAACCAGCAGGGCAGAGCAATGGCAAGAGCAGGGGCTGCAAGTGCAGCAGGCTGAGGGGAGGCAGAGGATCACGAGGACACAGCACTGCAAAAATCAATCCCGCTGGACACCGGGCACAGCCCCACGGAGGGCACAGAGCCAGCCCACCCGTGCACTGATACCCACATTTATCCTATTTTAAGAGCCCTGCGAGTCACTTCAAAGGAATCTTAATTGCCCTCTTCATGGAGAGGCAGCTCCGTTTCCTCAGTCCGTGGTATCCCAGGCACACAATAACCCGGCCAGAGATTTACAATAGGGGAGAACAGCCCCTCGTTGGCATGTGAGCCTTAACAAAACATTCACCCGTGACCAGGCTGCCAGTTTGAAACTGGCAACAGCGAGTCAGCTCAGGTACAATGAGTCTTTCCATGGTGGCAGGTCCCCAGGATAAATCTGGGCTGCTTCTGCCTTCCCACGGCACTGTTGGTTTTAATGTGCTCCAGAGCCAGAACCCGATTCAGGCCAGCACTGCCTCCATCCTCTCCTCTCCCCTTATTTCTTTTTTAATCATTGCAGCAGAAAAAACACAGGGTGGGACCCAAGTGCCTTCCTACAGCCCCAAAATGCTGACTGTGTGGGTACACCTGAGCATCCCACGGCTCTGGGGTAAGCCCTGGCCATCACGGAGCTACAGGGCTCCACCTCGGGGAGTTCAGTTACTTATTCTATAGGTTTACATATATAGGTTTAATCACTCTTTACTACTTAAAAAGCTAAAATAAAGACCCTTTCCTGCTGGATGCAGGTTGCTGCACTCCAGAGCTGCCAGAAGCGAGCGGGGGAACAACCCCCTGCTAAGGAGATGAGGATGGACACCTGGCAGAGATGATGGGGTCTCATCCCTGAGCCCCCACTACTGACCCAGCCACCCCCTCCTCCCACCTGCCCCGCCCTGTCCCCATCTGCTGCCACTGTCACCTCGGTGCCTGTTTACTCTCTGGTATCTCCATCCTCAGGGATCACACAGGGATGCAGGCAGCAATGGGGAGAGTGGCTTTGGCAACGCAGCTTTGAACCCCTCCTTTTGGGCTAAATCCCCCCAAAAAGTGGCAGAAAGGGGGGAGGCAGCGAGCTGGGGATGCAGGCAGGGTGCAGGTAGCCTCCCCCTGCTCCCCCAGGCGCAGCAGGCAGAGCATCCAACAGGGAGCACTCACTCCCTTACAGTCCTGGGAGGTAAAAACTAAACCGTGGGGATGCTCCAGCCCATCCCCAACCCAAACTCAAGCAAAGCCCGATCCAAATCCAGTTCACCAGGGAAAAGGGGTGGGTTCTCAAGCCCCAGGGCTGAGTTATCCCGTGGTCTGCTCCCATCCCTAGTGGCTTTTGACTCTGGGAGTCCCCTTATGGGGACTCAGAAGCTGCTGCAGTCACCGCCCCCTTTGTAAGGCTCACTCGGCACCTTAACCCCCCATCTGTGGTTTCCCCTCTGCTTCCTGTTTTGTACTAAATCCGGAGGAGCAGAACCCCCAGAGCAACCCCACAGGTCAAGCTCAAGTCTGTCAGCCCCGAATCCCCTGGGGATCTTCTCTGCTCCTTTCTCCCGTGTTAATGGCCATGGAGGAAGACTCCAGGAAATAACTTGCTCCATCACCTTGCACCCCCCGTTAACCCACACTGGGAGGAGGATTCCTGTCTCAGGGAGACCTCTTCCTGCATCCAACAGTAGAAAAGGTCCTGTCAGGGCAGGGATAAACCGGCAGCAGGTCACGGCTACTTACGGTCCGTCCTCTTGGTCCAGGCGGAGCAGGCAGGAGCTCGGCGGGATCTACGGGGCCGTCCTCTCTTCCCCTAGGAAAGGGAAAAGGGAGAACATCCTCAGGGCTAGGGCCACCCACACTGGCAGCCCACAGGGGACGCTTCGCTTCACAGCCATCCAGCTTTGGAGGATCCACGGATCCTTCTGGATCCCCAGCCAGGGCAGCTCGGAGCACCGACGGGGAGCCAGGCCTAGAGGAGCAGGAGCAGGGCCTTGAGGAGCCACCACCGTCACAGAGGAGTCTGAGCTCTCCAAAAAGCCACCCACCTCCCACCCACCTCCGCAGGCACCGGCAGCACCAGGGCTGGGCTGCCGGCGGCTCTTAAGGAGGAGGCGTGGCAGAGCAGAGCAGGGCAGAGCAGAGCACAGACCTCGCCGCAGCTTCCCCCAGCACCTCCTGGCCTTTCCCACCAAGATCCCCCTCCCTGACTCACTCGGGCTTTTAGGAAGGGCCCAGGACATGGAGTGATGCCCTTTCCCAGAGAAAGGGGGATGCAGCCCCGCTCTGCAGCTCTCCTGCCTTCCCACGTGGAGAACACTGCTTAATCCCACATCTCCACCATCTTCTCCCCAAACACTTTCCAAACTGCACATCCTCACCTTCCTCCTCACGATCTGAGGAAGGAAAAGCCCTGCTGAGAAGCTGCCATGCACAGAAACCCTCCTGCCATGGTGGTGCTCAGAGAAAGCCTCCCTGCAGGGGCAGCCACTCTACATCCCAAGTAACTATCCCAGATACCAAAGGGAAGGTGGGCTGAGGGGGAAAACGAGCCATCCAGGTGAAGGGAGCAGGATAATGAGCCAGCCAGGTGGCACAAGCCCACTGCTATCCCAGTTAGTCTCTGGGATAAAGCACACAAGGAAGAACCTCAATCCCATTCAGCACAAAAAAGCAGTGATCCAGGTGAGGACGACAAGGCTCACTCCCAGCTGCTGCTCGAGCCCTGGCAGGGAAGGAGCTTCCAAGGGGAAGCTCTGAAGGGCTGGAGGTTTCCTTACCTCTCTCCATCTCCTCCAGCTAGGAGAAGCAGAGATGAGAGGTGCAAGCCTTCTCCACAGCATGCTTTGCTCCTTATATCCCATTAAAATAACATCCCATGCATGAGATGGGGAAGGAAAACACCCAGCATCCTGAGCTGGTTTCTTCTGGATACTCCTCTGCAGGGACCAGGCTTTCTGTACCGGTCCTGGGATGACAGGGATGGCTCCATCCTGGCATCACCCATTCCCTCTCCACCCAAAGAGCATCTGCTTCCTCCTTCCATCATCCTTTGCCTTGGGGAGCGATTAACCCAGAGGGCTCAGGACAATCAGCAGCCAAACCAGCTGCACTTGGGGTCACAAAATTCACCTTCCAGCACCAGAGTCAGCCCTGAATCCACCGGAGCATCCGACATCGCTGCCAACAAGGAGCCTTTTGATTCAGAGCCACGAACTGCAGGATCCACTAACGAGGTTAAACCCTCCCCAGGGAGCTCCTGCTAAAGCACTTCACGGTGCAGCATCAGCCCCATGTGGAGGAGGATGAGGATGCTCGGAGCTGCCTGGGGGTGGGCAAGGGGATCCCAGGAGGATCCTGCAGCCCCAGGGGAGCAGGAGGCTGTGGTACCTTAAAGCACATCGGCCCGGCCGGGAGGATCTGAGCTCTTGCCCCAAGCTGGTCTTTCCAGCTCGACTGGAAGAGCCAGGAGCTGGATCGCTGCTGGTCTTCCTGGGATTGTTTTCCAGCTTCCCAGGCGGTCTCCCCACCATTGGCCGATGCAATCGGCCGTTCCCAGCCCAAGGTCCAGAAAAATCCTATCACGGATCCGGCATCCGACAGGTCAGGAACCGCTGTCTCCACCGCTTGCCGCGGGCGGCTCAACCCATCCGGCAGCTGATCCCAGCAGGAAATGAATGTCCCAGAGCCCTTGAGAAACCCTAAACAAGCTGGATTTTGCTCCTTCCCCTCTCCAGGTATGCTGTCGGCCTCCATTTCCCCTCCTGCCTATCCAGTTTAATCACTTAAATGATGATTCCCAAACTTGAGGGGGGAAAGGGCACCTTGTGCCCGCTCCCTGACATCTCCCTCTGGGATGCTCGTGGCTTTGGGCAAAAGAAAATGAAAACATCCCTTCCCCTGTCAAAGACTAAAGCCAGCCAGGATTTTTGAGGGGCTCAGCCCTGGTGCAGGAGCATCCCTGTGGGAAGACAGGTATTCCCCAGGCAGGAGGGGACACAAGCAGGGCAGGGATGAGCCACCAAATCCCTCCTGTCATCATCCTCCCCCTCGAGGACCAAACCCCCTGGGAGCTGTTAAAATAGAGGAGGGGGAGGTGGAGACGGAGTCTGTCCCCCTTCCACCCGCCAGACCTGGAGCGAGGCTGCCGTCCGTCCGCCCGTCCGTCGGAGCTCCATCCCTGGCGCCAACCTCCCTCGGTTAAAATTACCTCCCGAGGGGGGAGAGAGCAAAAGCCGGGCTGGGAGGGGAATAAAAGCCAGGTGAGCTCATCCTCCTCCAGAGAAAACGTCTCCACTTGGCATGAGAGAGGTGTTTCCAAGCCCGGCACATCCCTCACGTCACCCCAATTGCTATTGCCCCAGGACAAGCAGCTTATTCATTCAGCAAGCATTTAGTGGGAGATAATCCAGCTGCTTCCCAACCACCCTTTGGGCGAGCCAAAGGTGTAATTCCAGTGTGGGATACAATTTTTGGGAAGAGGTTTCCCTAATGGTCATCCCAGCGGATGCTCCCTGGCCAGGAGAAAACGGAAGAGCCGCCACCAGCAGAACCTCCACCTCAATTGTAGTTTTTCAATTCTATTAATAATTTACTGAATTTATTAAACTATTTCATTAAAAATGAATTAATTTTATAAACCTATATTCTATCAAATCTCTGGGAATGGGAAGAAAAGCAAAGCAAAGCTGCCCAGCCAAGCCGGATTATCCAACGCAGCGACCGGCCTAAAAATAAACCACTGCTATTTAAGGATGAGCCTCCCACAGTAAACCCCCCCCCAAAAAAAAGAAAATAGATAGAAGGAAAAAATAGATGTTTCCAAGCTGGGGTGTTGAGCATCACCCACCAGACCAAAAAAAAAAAAGCCTATTTTGGGTTTATTTCCTAGCAAAAGCCTGTGCTTCCAAGAGAACAGCATCAGCAGGCTTAAAGCCACTGATTTCCAGACACCCCATGCAAATAAATAATTACGATTTAAAGCTGCGTTTGCATAATACAGATAATCTGTCGATTTAACTTGTAAATGCAGGGGGAATTAAGCAGCGACGTTGTTAATTAGGCAGCAAAGGGGCCTGGGAAGCCCCAGCTCCACTGTGGATGCTGACGGACCACGAGGATGCTGAAGAAGCTGAACGTGCCGGGGGATGCAGGGCTTTGGCAGCGGGACCAGGTGTTGGGGCAGGTGCCGTGGTGTGACCACCGAAACCTTGTGTTCATCCAGATTTCAAATGAACAATCCCCCCCAGCTCCTCCAGCCCTTCAGCAGGAGCTGCCCATCCCTTCCCGCCCTCGAGGGCTGCCATCACCCCCCTCCGAGAAAAAAGGCAGTGGGAAAAGAGCCCGGGGTAAGATTTCTGAGGAGAAATCACATGTTTGGCTGCATAAAGAGCCGGCTCTGACAGCCGGGCTCTCGGCTCCCCCACCCCAAGGACCAAACCCCGCCCGGGAGTAAAACCTGTTGAGCCCGAATGTGCCTGAACAGACAGTTCTTTGTGATTTTTTTTTTTTCCTTCTCTTTTTCGGTTTGGAAGCGGCGCTGGTGATCGCACAGAGATGGGCTCGAGGACTTCCCGGCCCTTGGCACCGCTCCTGACGCCTTGTTCGCAGGCAGCACCGCGTTTAACCCCTAAAGCCCTTCTCTCCCTTTCATTTCTGGCACCATCCCCCCTCCCACACCCTGGTCCTGTTCAGTCCTGCATCCTCCCAATCCACCTGCACCCCTTCTCTCTGCATTTTTCTCCCTTATTTCTCACTTTCTACCTCATTTCCTCTCGATGCTTAGGAACTCTCCTCCATTCCCAACCCAGAAGGGTCTGATCCATCCTTGTGCCGTAAAATCCCACCCCATAAACCCCAACAGCCAT